ATGGTCTTTTCGAATAGTATTGATACACATCTTGATGAAGAGCTTCAAGGTCAAAATCCCACAGAATTTTACGCATACCGTCATTTAGAACGTAATTCTCTTGCAACAAAAGCAGAACATAATTTTTTAGTATTCGGAGGTGGAAAGCATGCATGTCCGGGTAGATTTTTTGCTATTAACGCGATTAAAATGTTTTTACATAAAATTATATTGAAATATAATATTAGAGCTGAGACCGGAGAGATTAGATCTGAATCAAAATATTTAGGACTTTTTTATAGGCCAATGAAAGGTGGTATTGTATTTGAAAATAGGAAGGAAATTATAAATTAAGAGTTATGACTTTATTTCTTAAAGATGATATATGTACGGGGAGTATCAAAGTAAGTTTTAATGGTATTCTTTTAATGTCTTTTTTTTTTTTTTTTACTTTATAGTATTGCATATAAATCAATATTTTTAAATAAATTACATATATGTTAGTAGATTTTTTTTAATTTATGCAAACCTGTGAATTTCGCTCTATTTTAATAAAAGAAAAGGGAGAGGATGCTCTTCTATGAACATCTTAGTAATATTTGCCAGTTTTTTCATTACACGTCACTTCGATTATATTTACACCTCTCAAAATAAAAGAAATTGACTGAGTTATGAAGAACCTGATATGTAATTTTTATAGCTATCCAATCTGGCCTTTTCATATTGTTACATACTCCTTTATGAGCTTGATTGCTTGGTATGACCAATTTCTAGGTTACGAATGAGTATTAGAGTCACTACAGTATAACCAATTAGTATTCTCGTTATTCAGTTATATATTCTGTAAAAATTTGTTATTGCTATATTTATGATGAAGTTTCTTTTAAATAAAAAAAAAGCTTGAGTCTTAACTTGAAAGCGTTTAGTAGAAGCGTTATAAAATTTACGAGAAACTCTGTTAACTGTGATCGTCGAATAGCTCTAATACTATGATGTTGATAAGGACAATCGTCTGATTGGTTGATGCGGTTCAATTACAGGGCAAGGTGTTATGAAAATTTTTGTGTTTAAATTTTCTTTGCTATATTTTCTATATCGTATTAGCATTCTTTACTATATATATTTGTTAGTGTTATTGATATGATATGGCTGTGCATGGTTTAAAACCACAGATATTGGTTTGAGACCATAGATCTTGGTTGAGACCAGATCTTGGTTCGAGACTACCACAGATCATGTTCCCGACCATGGCTATTTTGCGATGTATAAATATAACAGCTAAACTAATAAAGAATAGGAAGAATTCCCACTTGAGTCATAAATGAAGTAATAAATAAAGTACCTTATAAATCGTACACCGACTGAAATATAACCCATTATCATTAAATCTGAATTCTTTGTAAATATTCATCTCGCATAACCTATGCTTGTAACTGTGAGCTAATTTGATCTCATGTTAGCCAAGTCTTATAACAACGGACTTTGTCCCGTTAAAATTTCAGGAACACAGTATTCTAGAGTTTAAATTGCTATTTTACTTAATTTCGTGAATAACTAAATCCAAATGAGGAAATTTAATTTTGTAGGTAATGATAGGGATTTAGAGTTAGTGCATTGGCATTAAAAGCTACAGGAATAGATCATTATTGGTTATATTTTAAAATTCATTCCTGTCATTTTTAATTAGTATGTCAAGTTGTTTTAAACATTTATTTCTCTTTATATTAGACTGTAGTCGATATTTGATTGACTAATTTTAATTTGGAGTGTTTGTACTTGCAAAAACATTACATGCAATATTTGCATAGCTACGTTTGTGTGACCACCTTATCAGGGCTAGTTCTAATGTAGAATCAGTTTTGTTTTCAATGCATGATTTATCATATTTGAAGTTGTCATTTGTCTGAAGCTGTTTTAGGTTGCACCTTTAGGGACTAGTTTTAGTTAATAAAATTTTAAATGCTTAAAATTACAATTTTTAGTATATGAATTATTAATTTGTTATATATATAGATTAAATATTTACTATATTATATAATTTAAATAAATAATTTAAAATATAGTAAATATAAAAGTGTAACAACTTAGTGTTATTTTTGTATATATATTATTTTCACTTATCTATTATTTTCATTGGCTTTTTTTTTAAATATCTCTAACCAAAGATATATAAGTTATATACCTCTGGCCAATTAAAATACAAAAAAGTTATGTAATCTCTATTTTTGATGATTTTTTGATCATATAATAGTGCTAAACAGGTCAATTACTTTATGTAATCTGGAATTACAACCTCTTGAACTGTTTATTAGCAATTTACAGAAAAAAAAATTTAGCTTTTTAGCAATGATATCTCTATAACCACCTAACCAAATTTGATGAAAAATTTTTTTATTTGAATTCTATAAATCTATAAAAGCTAAATTAAAAAAAAAATTATTAAACTGGATCAAGTGGTTTGAAGATATTTTTATTTAAATTTTTTAAAAAAATTAATATAGCTTTTATTTTGATAGATATTTTGACTTTTTCTACTTTTTAGCAAAGGTAACTCCATAACTATTTAACCAAATTTAAATTTTTTTTATTTGAATTTTATAAATTTATAAAATTTAAACAAAAAAAAATTTATTAAATTTGATTAAAGATTGTAAAGATATCTTTGTTCAAATATTTTAAAAAAATTGATATAGCTTATATTTTAATATTAATTATAGTTATAACAAAATTAGTTAGCAGATATTTGATTTTGATTAGCTAATAGTTAAGAATTTTTAAATTTTGGCCTGTATTATATAATTGTTTACTAATTTCTAACTAGAATTATCTTTTGACTTTTTCATTATAAAAATAGATATTTTTATAAAATAAATTTATATTATAATAAATTTGACTCAAAAACAATTTTTATTTATTGTAGTTTACAAAAATATGTGAAATTTGAAATTAAAAAAAAAATAGATGATTTCTGATTCTATTGATGATTTTTTTATTATTTTTCTGCAGAAATAAAAGTTATTCATAATTTTGTAATATATTTTAATTTAGTATCTTTTGTAGAAATATAATTTGCATATTCATTATATTGTAAAGAACTTAATTGTACAATATTAAATTTTGTTTCTTTTCTAGCCCAATAAAATTTACCATTGCACAGTAAGAAAAAAATTTAAAAGTTGTGCCAAATTCAATCTTATAAGAATTATTATATAATATTAAAAAATTAATTTGTTTATTACTAATAGAATTATGAAATTTTAAAGTAAAAATATAAGAAACTTTAATATAGTTTTTATTATTAGAATATATACCATATTGTCACAAAATAATGAGCATAGGTTTTAATTAGAAGTTTGGGTTAAGCTTAATTTGGGCTGAAATTTGTAATTTCACCCATGTACATTATTTTGCAACAATATAATATATATTTTTTCATTATTATAAATTTTAGAAGTTGTACAAAAAAGATATTAAAGAAATTAGCAATTAGAAATTATAAATCATGTTTTTTTTGATTTGTTAATTTTATATATTTTTGCAAATTATAGTAATAGATAGCTACAATTGTATTAGTAAAATTATAAATAATTTTAGTCTAATTTTTTTGATTTTTGCTTTTTAAAATTAAAATTTTGTTATATCATTTAGTTAAAATAGCTAGAGTTAATTATTTTGATAAATAATTTAACTTTTCTTTAACTTTTTGTAATAACTATCTAATCAAGTTTAATGAAATTTTTTTTATTTTTTTTTTAATTCTTTAATGATTATACTAAAGCTAAATAAAAATATGAATATATAAAAAAAACTATATACAATTAATTTTTAATTCTAAGTCTAACTTTGTCTAGCTACTTCTTATAGTGTCTAAGTATAATATATTATACCAGCTTCTAAAAGCTAGAACTTGATATTAAATAATTATCAAGAACCAAACTAATAATGTTTTCTATTAGTATTAATAAAATATTTGGTTGCTTTAGTTATTTATCTTTCTTGTATAGATGCTAAAGTTGTATTAGATTTGTTTTTTGTTTTTCTTTTTTTCACTTGCTAGATTTGTATAAAACTTTGGTCTAGGTTTCTTGCATTGTTTAAACTTGCTATTGCAAATAAATATTTCTCTTTAGCCTTGTTTTGTTTAATTGCTCTTATAATTAGTTTTTTTTTTTTTATTTAGCTATTTTAATATAGAAAATAACTAAAAATCACCATAGGTGATTATCACCTATGATCTACAATGCATAAAAAAAATAAATAATTTTTATTAAACCAAAAAATTAGCCTCTTTAAGATTAGAGTAAGAGTAAGATTAAAGTTAGTTAAGGTTAGGGTTAGAATGTTTTATATAGTAAAATTTGGCAAGAAATTTTTTTTATTAGAGCTTCAAAGATGGTTTTGTAGACAAAATTTTGAGATATAAACCTTTTTTAAAAAAATTCTTTGCTTTTATTACACAAAATTGATTTACATATTACACCTGATCTTAAATTTTGATTGGCAAATTGGCTACAGGTGATTATTACCTGTGGTGTAAATTAGAAATTTTCTTTAATATATTATTGTTTTTATATTATCTTATAAAAGCTATTTAGAATGCTTGTAGAAATGTATTGATCAAATTGAATTTTTTTTTAGCTATAACTATATATGTTGCATATTGCTTTATGATTCCTCTGAGTTTAAAATCAACACATGTTATTTTAAAATTTATACTGATTGAGATGTAATATATATTATTCTTTACTGAGCTCAAATTTAACTATATGATACCTTTTTTAATTACATAAAAAAAAAAATTTTTTTATTCATTCAAATTTAATTATAAAATATGTAATTAAGATTTTTTTTTTTAAAAAAAAATTAGACTTTAAATAGAAGCAATTTCAATAATTTTTATTATTTCTTTCTTTTTCATATTAATATAACTTCTGATAATTCAACAGTTTTTTTATTTTTATCACTTGAAACATTTGATCAAATTGTTGCTGATTATATGAATAATTGAAAGAATGAAAGACATATAATGAATTATTTAAAATACAATCATTGAATAACACTTTTGCAAAATTCAAGTAATCATAAAAATCTAAACTTTAAGCATTAGGTTCTTAATTTGTTTAAACCAATTAAGGTTGGAGCTATTGAAGAACTTAACATTAAATCTGAAAATAATAATCAGGGTACACAAGTTTGTCTCATAGAAGATTTTTATATTGTAATTTGTCAGGCCCACCAAGATACAGAACATAGTAGGCAAGAAAAAACATGATTAAAAATAAGTTTATAATTTTATAAAAAAAAATTTTATTTTTAAATATATATATTTAAATTTATATTTATATTAATAAATTCAGCAAAGATACTGTTTTATACCTCAAACTATCATAGAAATTGCTGTGAAATAATGTAATA